ATGAGTGATGAAGTCGATAGCCCTCTTAAAAGAAAGCCTGTGGAGATAGCGGCTTGGTAGTTGTTTCTACGGCACAGCCAAACTTCCAGAAATGCTTCATTCCATCAAAGGCAGGATCCCTGCCGGAACGAGCCAGTACCACGGCATGTTGCCATATCTAATTGGTGTTCGCCAGCAGAGGTTAAAAAATGCTCAGGCTCTCAACAACCATTAACTCAAACGCAAACCCTCCGGAACTGACGCCGCATCGCAAAATGTTTACATCTTTCCATAATAACAGTTCAGAATCCGAACCTCCACACTTCCTTTAGGATCGAACCTTCGCTAAGTTGCACATGGACGACTCCTAGCAGATCCTTGCAATAAGCAACCTCGGTGGACAAATGAGTTCCGAGAGCTTAGCCGCAAGAATGCCAAAGGGGACCCAACTTCAATAAGTCAACAGCCCAAGCCCGAAGCCTTGGGCGAGGAATCAGTCCATCTCTTTCACCGTGGGTCCACAACCTCCCAGGCTATGTCAGCAGCAGCCAGAGTGAGAGTTCTACGAGCAGCAGCTCCCAAAATTCATGCCAGTGGCTCAAGACTTTGGAAGTTGGGCTGTACAGGTTTAGCAGCTTCAGTGCTCAATGTGTTTTTGTTGTGAGTTTCATTTGTTTTTTCTGGTGGCGTTTGCGCTTGGTGGGGAGGGTTGGGTTTAGGCTGTTAGGTATGCGGATGTTGAAAGGACTCGGGGCTAACATAGGGCTTCTGAGCAGGCTTCAGGTTTTTGTGTCTGGGGGTTTCAGCTTAGTGTGTTTGGTGTCTACAGCTGCCCAGGATTAGAAGGGGTTGTTTTCCAGTTTGTCCAGTGCAAGGCTCCCATACTGGGGGCATTGATGCCCCGAAGTAATTGTGATGCATACCGGCTGATCTCTATGCTGAAGGTTACAGGTTGGCAATCATTAGATTAGGGTGTAGGGCCTGCAGTTTCAACATCATGCTCAGAAGGGGTGTAGACAACAACATGCATTCGCAAATTACCGGTAGAGCGAAGGGGTCCCCAAAGTGCGTCAAGTACGCCCAAATTGTTCATCCAGTCGGTGTAGTTTCAGCACCCGATTAAGCCAACTCCGCAAAGCATACTGTAGGGCACCTTGAAAGATGATGATCTTGGTCATTCATTGAATCTGGGGTGCTGGGCAGGATCCAGTGCTTTTTTGGGGGGGGTATACAGCTACCATGAAGGTAGAAACAGTATGGAAACCTTCCAGTTCTCATCATCACTTCAATTGTTTGGGTGGTGGCTTGCCCACGAACGAAGCTCAATGCATGCAGGGACTGGTTAGGAGGTTCTCGTATAGGGAGTGTACCAGGCTTGTTTTATCGTTAGTAAAATGAAGACATGGCAGCAGCTTGCCCAAAGCGTCGCGGCCCGCTCTGGCGATCATGCCGCTCTCGAACTGGAATGCCAGGGTTGTTCTCCGCCGGGCAGGAGGACCCGATGGCCGCACGCTTGACTTCCCGGCTCCTTAACTCAGCACTGAACTACGGGCTTCCACGCTGACTTCTGCTTAGCTTCTTCTCACATGGCTTCTGGCTGGCTCGGGGCCTGCAAGGGCGGACAAGCCTGAGCCTTCCACCTCCTGCCAGGGTCTTGTTTTTGGAGATCGTGTTGTTTTCGTAGCTGTGGGCAATTCGGTCAGTAGTGCCGCGTGTCCGCAGCTGTGTCTGTGAGCCATGAGGGCTTGCAGTGTTGCCTCAACCTTACTGTCCTTCAAGAGGAGTCATACTGGAAAGAATTCAAGTCATGTACGGGTAATTGTAGGACAACATTGGCACACCCCGCGTATATGGATCTGACCTTGTGTTATCTGCCAAGTCTCGAGCTTCAAGACCCCCATGCTCCCAAGCAATGGGCCAGAGAGCCCGGTGTAAATATGTGGACACCAGAATTCACTGGTCCCCTGCGTGTTCTCAAGCTGTCTACCAGCTACCAGAGCAGACCCTACGAGAGCAGACTTAGATCAGGGACCAGCAATTTTGTGCTCTTAGTTAGGGTTTGCCAGCCTCCTTCTTGAACCCCCAGGTACCTTGTAAACCAATGCGTACTCAAAAGTCAGGTCTTCTCATGTCCGAGCTTACCCAAAATTCTAGTAGTTGGCCAGAAGTAGACTGCTTGAATGACAACCTCCATAGGTGAGGGATGCCAGACGCACTTTCTTTTGGAAGGGATTCTTGTGGGGCAAAGCTCACCCTAAAGCAAGTGACACTGCACTAGAAGAGGCATGTGATTCAGCTGTGAGAGATGCGCAGAGAGGGCTCCGCAAATTTTGAGGTTTCCTGCTGTGGGCAGGTTGTTGGGAGAGGAAGGGTGAAGGAGGCTGCTGCTTGATGCTTTTGATGCTAGGACCTTCACTGTAGCATGTAGAGATGCGCAGGTGTTCATGTCAACTACGCTCACGGTATGCCCTTTACGTAACCAAGACAAATGCCCTATACGCATCCATGAACCTGGGAGTCTCTCAAAACAATCCTTCTGCGAGCCTTAGGTGGGCCCCTTTCGGTTCTGTAATATAACCCATGTATCCCCACGATCCCGCTCAGTACCCTATGCTGAGACATCCTTATACCCATGTAAGAACCATTTTGCATTGAGGAATCCTTCAGGGGGATACTATATACTACGTTATTCCTCTAATTACCCTGCAGTTGTCCCCCACCCCAACTTCGAGCCCCTAGCCCATTGATAGCTCCGGGGCGTTTCAAATTGCACACTCAGGCAGGGCGTGTCCAGTTTCCCTGCCTCCACGGGTGATCGTCAAGGTGAAGGAGGCTTTTCAGAATCCACTTGCAGTTCTGGGCTGCGGTTGCTCAAAACTTGAAACCTTGGGGTTTGGGGTTTGGGTACACAGAGGTTCAGGCCATGGTTGAGGAGAGCAAGGTGCAGGGTCAAGAGACTGCTTATGAGCTTTGCGTTCATCAAGTGGCATACAGCGGTTTTCGGTAGGCAGCTTGGCAAGTTTACAATGAGTGTTCAGAGTCCCGGGCTGACATCACCAACACAGAACACATACATATATTGATATATGTATATATGCATGTATACAGTACATCCTGAGCGTGACTCGCTATGTGCCTCTTCAGCCCGCTAAGCCTGTCATCTAAGCAGAATCCGAACCTTTGCCAAAAGTATGCACGCTTTGGCTTGCTTTATGCAGCAAAATACAGGAAGCGCAGACCTTGAACCATGCATCACTATGGCTCAACCCTGGAAAAGTTCTCGTCTTGGGACCAGATCCTGTTGTCAACGGGATCTGGCCCCAAGACGAGAGCTTTTCCAGGGTTCCTGCTGAACCGGGCCTCCAGGGCATACCAGACCCTCCCAGACCCTCCAGGGCCTCTTTGCAGGGTATTTTTCTGCGGGGCTCGTCATCGGTTCCAGAGAAGTTTCACTTCTCTGTTTGCTTTTCTACTCCAAACACTTGATTGGGGTCTCACAAGGGCAAGAAGTGATTCAGAAACTGCCAAACTTGCTAAGATGTTTCTTCCAAACGTGTACAGGAAAAGGCATGCTACAGTCCCTCATTTCGTGCTTCGCTGCCAGGGTTTTAGCGCCTGTAAGAGTGTCAATATGGGATAGCAGGGAGCTGGTGCACATAGCATGTTTGTTTGCTGCTTGTTTCAGTGCGGACCGAAGCGATCGCAGAATTCAGCACGATGCAGGCATTTTGTTCACGAAGTTGTGCTGATGTCCTGCACGCCAAAGAGCGTTGCTGGCGGAGTGTCAGTGATCCAAGAAGCTCCATCCCCAAGATAACCCAACATCGCACTTTGCTCTCCTTGAAATGTGGATAGATTGTGAATGCTGATGTTTGTAGTCCGGGCTCGCTGACCGTAAAAAGCGATGCTCAGCGTTCACATGTAAACGGTCCTCGAATAATGTTGGCGCAACTTGTTTGTCCTCTTGGTGCATCCTCTGGACTCAGTGCCCCGAACCCAGGCTCGTACAGTATATTTCTGGTGTGGAGGAGTCTCCTCGAAAAGCACTGCGTCGAGCTTCTGCCGGAGGCTCCCAGAATGGAATCATTCAGGTCTTCAGACTTTTCTTTTGGAAGTGAGGAACTTTTGTTTCACTCCATTAAAATTTTCCACGGTCACAAGCTGGACTGCGATTTAAGTCAGGGAGACACCAAACAGGACTCCACAGAAACAAGCATAATTGCTAGGTGGGTGCTCTTTTTGCACTTGGAGTGGTGCGTCTCTACAGCAACAAATGGAGGCAGCAGAGCCCCCGTAGCTTAGTTCGCGAGCGCGGCCGTTAAGCTTACACTGTTACAAAATTTAAAGGGGGTTGGGTATCTTTGAGGGGCACGAGCTGCGATCTGCAGATGGGCTCGGCATGCGGGGATGTTGCTTTCCTCACTTGGCTTCAATGATGTCAGCCGGCAGACTGCACGTATTCTGACAATTTTACGCCATCCAGCTCCATGCACTTGCCAATAACATGTTTGAAGTGTTCTACTGTCGCTTTTGCGAACAGAAATGCAGCCTCGGTCTCCACCACGACGCGAGAGTTTGCACTGGAACACATGTCCGAATGTAAACAGACACGTACGCAAGAGAAACACACGCATTGTTGTGTCAGAAGGCTCGGACAAAATAATTTTAGGGACATGAGCCTGGCAGCCGCCATGAAGAAGGTTGAAGATTGTGGTTTTGAGCGCCAAGATAGTGCAACCTGCCGCCACCTGCAGGACAAGCAGCGGGTCCGGCCAAAGAGCAGGCGCAGCTAAAGAAGCGTGAATGATTTGAGAAGGAAGCGGCTGACACAAGATGTTTCGAGCAAAGGCGCCTGCGGCGGCTAGAGCCCATTCCCAAGGTGGCATCCCCAGCTGCAACATACTTCAGAGTCAAGCGTGAAAATCATGCGGCCCTGCAGGAGAACAGCTGGTGCCAGCCCACGCGAAGGCTGGGCTGAAAATCTTCGTGCACACGGAGGCGCTGAATTCGTCGCCACGTAGGCGCCCGCCGAACAACTTGTTGCGGTGACAGCCGCTACCAGAGGTCCGGACCTCAAGCTAAGAGGCTAACTGCGGGGTAGCAGAATGTGGCAGCAGAAGTGTGCAGGAGAGGCATCAGTGCCAACCAAAGTGAAGGCCAGCTTCAGTCGCTCAGTTGCGTGAGCATTCTTTTTCGTTTGCGTGCAGGCGCTTGCTGACCAAGCTGTTAATCAGGCAGCCCCTGTAAAAGGTCGGACAGTGTGCTGGCAGTGGCAGTGGTTTCAGCAAGTGCTTCCGCAGAGTGCAGGAAGAGAATCAGCTCCGCCCAAAGCAAAGGCTGGGCGCGAAGTACTCGCATGCAGAGAGGCCATTGCTTCAAAGCCATGACATGAAGGCACCTGCTGAGCGGACTGGGGCGTTCAAAGCCTTTAGCGAAGGCCACGCCTTGTTTGTGCCTCAGGGCTTTGTCAGCAGCAGATGCAGGAGAAGAACGAGCGTCAGCCAAAGCAAAGGCTAGGCCCCAGCAGCTTCTGCACAACAACGGGGACTGTCCCATCTTCATGAGGCATATGCTGCGCATGCGAGGGCTCCAGCGCCTGGCAAAGGTCACTCCCTGAGCAGCAGTTGCAAATCATTGCAATCATCCTTCAGGCAAGTCTGGCCATGTCCTGCCTTCAGATTCAGTGGTCGCAGGAGAAGCGTCGGCAGCTGCACCCAAGGCACAAGCATCACAAGCTTGCAAGCAGAAAGTCGCAGCTTTTTCTCACAACTTCTTCGCTCTCCAGAAGAAATCAATAGCTTGCATAGACTGCTTCTAGTCCGCCATGAATAGCTTGGGCGGCATCAAGCTACTTCAGATAGCCTCCGCGACAGGTGCATCCTGCGCCGGCTCCAGTAGCATCCCACACCCAAGGCGTTGGAATCATTCAAGGGCAGCACCCAATGTTTCTGGAGAGCTTGTAGGTGATGCACTGGCGGCGGCCGCCACAAAGGCCAGCTGTTTTTTCAACAATTGGATGAGGTCAGGCGATCAGAACAGCGCCATGACTCGTGGAATATTGTGAGTACCAGTGGTTGGCCATTCTCATCTCGAAAGAAACAAGATAGGAGCCACAAACCCGAATGCAGACACGTGAC